ATAGGATTTTCTGGCAAATTTGGAAATCCCTGCATTTATTGTAGAGCTGACTTCTCTCCTTAGCTCACTGGCTAGCAGTTTTGCCATGGGTCATAAATACTTCTTTGCTTCTCTCTTTTTAAGTTCTTTGAAGACCTGAGCACATGCCTAATTTTATGACTTGTGCCAAGTTACACACACCAAAAAGCTGTGGTATGATCAGGTTCTTAAAACATTTTTTTATAGAAAAGATGAAGACACGTGCAAAAATACTCATCTTTAGTCTAACATATGTGGTGTTGTGCCAGTAGAACAGAAAGGGTTTGAAGATGAGAATTCTACTTGCAGCAGACTCCCAAGCTATCTTATGAGTTTTAGCATGATGCAGAATAGTATGGCCTTGTCCATGTCATGAGTCAACAGTTGTATGTGAGGTCCTTTAAAGTCTCTTCTTATGTTTCCTTGTCCCTGCTAGATCCAGAGTCATTAGCCAAGGACTTGACTGGACTGAATTCCTTGTTATATGAAAGAATTCCTGTGTGATCTAACAGCTCTGAATGTTGGACTGTGACTCATTTGTCTGTTTCAGTGAAGGGACTGGCTGTCTACAGAGGTGTGGCAGGTGGGAGCAGCAATTACTTTGGCTCCACTGATTTTTGCACAGTTGTATATATAGTAATGTTTTATGTGAATCATTCAGTCTTGTGATTAGACCTATTATCTAGGTCTTTGTTTCTTACTGGTTGGGTTTTACTTTGGTTTCAGCTTCACTGTAATTTTGACTCCCATCTATAACATAAAGCTAACAATTTACTTCTTGTGGGACTGTTGGAAGATAATCATTGATGGGTGCGAGGCATTCAGATATTGTGAGGGCAGCGATGTAATCAGCTAGAGAGATTCCCTACATGGAGTTGGGGCTTTTGGGGTCTCTTTACATGCTCTGAGAAGTCCTGGGGTGGACTCATCCTTGTGATATTTCGAAAATAAAACAAAAAACCCCAAAACTGTACTGTGTTTCTCCTAGAATATATCTAAAATTTATCCATGTTTGTAAATCTCAGCCCTGGACTACTGTGCAGTTTGTCAGATTAGTTAAGAAAACTGAATAGACTAAAGTGTTGAAACTCTAATGGCCACATTTATCTTTAATCTAATGGTATTCACTTTTTCCTGTGAAATGTTGCATATTCTTGCTGCTGACTTTCAAGGTCTCGTCTTTGGCTGCTGAAAATCTGTGCATTGCTGCTCTTCTGGAGTACTCGTGGAAAGGTAACAGGCTTTACATTTACTTCCTTCTTCAGGAGAATGGTACTTGTACCAGTTTGGATTTTTCTCTTTTCCCTTCGGTGTTTATTCCCTACATCTGTCTGTTAGAGGTATATTAATTACAGAGGCATTAATTGTTCCAGTTTAAATCCAGGACACTGAGTAGTATGATGCCTGCCATACCAATTGCCGTTTGACACCTCAAATATTTATCCAATTAATTTTAGATATTTTTTGCTGACACTCAGTCACAGTTACTTCCTCTAGTCAGTGTTCTTGCAGTTTCAGATGTAATGTATTGCACCTTGGCTAGTAAAGTTTTTTACTCTTAATCTTAACCACAAGTTAGTCAGTGACTGTAATTGCTCTTTGCTGACCTTTATGATAGTACCACATATAGCAAAAGTTATCAAGTAGTTCAAGCAGTTTTCTGACCACATTCATCTCCCCTCCCAAAGAGCTAGGTTTGATTATTGGTGTTCACAAATGTGAGGAAAAAAAAAAAAAAAAAAAGGCTCAAAGCTAGTTTATTCTCAAAGTTGTGGAGAAAGCTTTTTATAAAATATAAAATGAGCATTTGATAGAGACATAATGAAATCTTCCTGATTATCTCTTTTTATCTCTGTATTATTTTATTATAAAATGTTTTCATTTGTATTTAGGTAATTACTTCTAGACGATTCTTCAAGAAACACTCAGGTGCGTACCTGTAAAATGTTCGCTGTACATTCTTGTTAATAAAACATTGAAACATTGAACATCTTCAGGTAAAAATGGCTTCTTCCTTAAAACATATTTACTAAGCTTCTGAATCTGTGGGACCAAATAATTGTTTTCAGCTCCGTTAGAATAAAGGGTTTACTTCAAATGTAAAACCATAGAATTACAAATAGCAACAGATGATTTGAAGTGACATGAGTCAACTTGATTTTTGTAACTGTCTAAAAATGTTAAAGTTAACAGTTAAAAATATTAAAGTTCTTAACAAAGTACCCTCTAAGTAAGTCAAGACTTCTTCAAAAAAATCTTTGAAGATATATACTCAAGTATTTTTAAGTCTCCTTAGACAGAAACTACTAATTCCTCACTCAAACAGTAAGAACTTCAATCATGCACAAGGTGGGGACTGTAAAATTACTGATAAAAATATATACAGATGTTCTTGTAAGTGCTTTTGTATTTTCTGTTTCATACAAGTTGATGGTACATCTTTAAATGAACAAGACATGTATTATATTTTAATGGTATAACGTCAGTTTTACCACAGCTTCATTCTTAAGGGCTGTTTTTGAATAACTGGGAGTAACTGATGTTTTCCACTGGTCTGAAGTTGAATGAGAATAATTATTAGTGCACTGTTTGTTTTGGTTGTTGTAGTGCGTTAACTACTTTTTTTCTGAGCTGACAATTCACTACAGAACTCTGTCCTGTGCAGTTATTTTGGTGATTTTTGTGCATTTGAACTTGTGACCAAATCTGACATTCAAAAATTAATTAAAGAAAAAAAGAAGCCCAAGATGCTTTTTGATAACCTTTTTTGTCCTCTGTCAGCATTAATTGCTGGTAGCTTTTAATTAGAGCAAGAAAACTAAAGACTCCAAAATAAATGTGCATGTTTTGGGTAATTTATTAGATTAAATACAGATAGCAGTTAGCGAAAGATCTGTGTAAAAGGTTATTGTTAATGACCTGTATTCTTTCACCAAAACAGTGTAGGTTCTGTTATCAAGTAGAAGATACCCACCTAGAATTTTACAGGTTACTTACAGACCTTCACATCACTGAATCATATTTACTGTGTTGAAAATCTTTTAGCAAGCTGCTCTACCATCGCGAAACCCACTCACTTAGAAACATGCATCTAATTTCTTTTGAGGATGTGTGTAATAGAAATATATCCAATAGATTGGTTTTTTTTGAGAAAAGTGGATTAACATTTTTTTTTCATGATGGCTGAATCTTGATTGAACACGTGAATCAAGTATGTAGGGGCCACATAGCATATGCACCATATAAAATACCAGTGCAAGTTTTCCTACAGAAATTTCCTACAAAAGATATATCGGTCCTGATTTTCGAAAGACGATAGGGTATCTTGGATCTGTCTCTTACGAATGCTGAATATTGCTGACAGTAATCTTTTCTGTATTTTATGTGGGGTACTTGTACTAGAAATTATTCTAATTCAGTTTGTAGGTATCCTGATAGTTCTCAGACATGAGGTGGATGAGAGCGATGATAAATGAAAAAAAGGATAGATTAAAGATTTTTGAAGGAACATTCTGAGAGGGAGCACCGTTTCTGAGCAGTCAGAGGTACAATGCTTAGGTTAGTTAATTCAGTTGCCATCTGACAGAAGTGAAATTGAATCTCTGAAATATAAGACAGGAGACAAACAAATGGCAATAAAGAAGCTGAAATTGCTAAGAGGAAGATCTTGCGATAAAAGGAATATCTGGAGAAATCTTATGTAGTGTTCCAAAAAAAGAAAGACCTGTCACTAGGTGATTAGTTTGCCTTTGACAGTGATGCAGTTCTTGAGTTCCTACGGAAGTACATAGGCAGAATTATTTAAGCAGGTCAGTACTTTGCTGTATCCGTACGTGAAGGCCTTCCTTGGAGACTTAAAATATTCCAGATTTAATTGGAGAATTCTCTGTGTATAAAATGCTTGACTGTGAAAAGAATGAAATAGGCTTGTAGGAATATCTGTAGGTTATGAACATGTGATTGGAAAATGTACTGCACATCACAAAAATTCACATGCAAACATTCATGCTAAAGATATTTCGGGTTTTTTTTTAATCTGCTGTCTGTAATTTGCACTGATTAATCAATATTTTTCAAAATACCTCTTGCAGGTTAAGGCTTAAACTGGATGGTTAGTTTCCCTAAATAGTGTTGCATCTGGCTGTTGTTCTTCTCACTTCTGTTGCAGAAGTTCAGAGCCCACAAGAACTCTGAGCATGGGTTTTTGGAAATAATAGCAAATTAAATGTGAAATATAAAAGTTGGTGGAAAATTTAAAGTTTTGTCTTCTGTCTGTGCTTACCCTCCTCTATTTTATTACTTATTCATTAGCTTATTTACCTTTTGGCCCTGATGTTCATCTTTTATGTGCTTAAACATCCATGTTCCCTCTTAAATCGAAGCGCTTCTGTTCAGCAGAGCTGCGTTAACAGGCCTGTGAAATCAGAGCATAAATTCCTCTGCATTTGAACCTTTGAAAACTAAAATGCTGTGGCAAAGTCCGGTGTCGCTGGAGCCTCTTAGCAGGGCTGTTGGCTTGTGGTGAAAGCAGCGCACCCCGAAATGTCAGGCAGCGGGGCTGTTACCGAGAGGTAATTGGGAGCAATTAGCCAGTCTCCCTGCTGGGCAGATCGCTATTACCTTTCTCCTCTTCGCCCTTCCCCCGGCTGCCGCTGCAGGCAG